ATAAATAAATAAATAAATAAATAAATAGGGAAAGCCCACTGGGTGCAGTGCTTCACACCTGTAATCCCAGCACTCTGGAAGGCTGAGTCAGGAGGACCACAAATTGGACCACAACCTAGGAGACTCAGCGACTTAGTGAGCCTTGCTTTTAATACAGCAGAGCTGGGGATGGAGTTCAGTTCAAAGCCCCTGGGTTCAATCCCCAGTACCAGAAAGAAAAAACTGCATATGAGAAACAGTTTGTGGAAGAAGCCAAATGTAAGAGCAGATACCCAGCAATCCCCTCTGCACAGGTCACAGGAGTTCGCCACCCACCAGGCCCCCCAGCTGTTACCATGATGGTCCTAGAGACAGGGGCAGAGGTCCGGAGATCACCCACCTGCCGCAGAATGGGGTAAAAACACACAGTGTCCGTCCACCTTGGGTCTGCAAAGAAAGAACGTTTCCTCCTCCCCCCGCCACAGGGTTCCAAATAAAGGGCTGGCCATGAAGCCAGAGGAGTTTCACCTGCGGAGCTTCCAGCCCTCAGATGACACCAGTGAACCACAAGTGATTCCCCAAAGGCCATCACCACGGTGTCAGAGTGACCTGGCAGCAAGTGAGGCTCAAGGAGGGCTCAGTGATGCACACCTGTGATCCTAGCACTTGGGAGGCTGAGGAGGGAGGATCTCGAGTTTGAGCCCGGCCTGTGGCTTATTTCTGCATAGAATATATCTTCTCCCAGAGAGCAGCTGGAGATTGTTAGATGGCATATTGATTATTTCTTTTGATTATAAAACCAAGTTTGAAGTTTAGTCTTTTTATAATGAGACGGAGTCTACACAGCACACCTTGCAAAAGTTAGGACCATTTCTCAATGTGAAGAAAGCCTGTATATAGGGCATCAGGGGCATTTATCCTGTTTTGTTTTGTTTTTTATAAAATAGGTTGAGTTGGAGCATTGTAATATAATTGCTATGCTTTTATTACCTAAATCTTGTCGTCTGTTAATGGGTGCCTATCTTATGTCTGTGTGTAGAAAAAAAAATCGCTTTTTTTTTGAGTAAGGATGAAAATTTTTTTTTAGCTTTTGAGAATACACCACCATAGTGTGGCTGCGGTAGGGAGGCTGAGGAATTATTTCGCCTGAAACACACACATCAAGAAAGTGGGAGCGGGTGTGGTGGCGCACACCTGTAACCCGGCACTCAGGAGGCTGAGGCAGGAGGATCACCAAGAGTTTGAGGCCGCCCTGGCCTACACAGTGAGTTCAAGGCCAGCCTGAGCTACACAGCAAGACCCTGTCTCAAAAAATAAATAAAAAAATAAAAAAGAAGAAAGAGAAGGAGAAGGTGGAGGCGTGAGAAGGTCTCTGTCATATCTGCCTAACAAGCTCTTTTTCAGCCTTTATGCTGGCCGAAAGGGACAGAGAAAGACTAACTGCCCCTTGTCCCACCACCAGTGGCCACAGTGTGTCCTGGCCTGTGCCCATGGGGGAGTGCAATGATGAGAACTCTGTTTCCTGAGATCCTTTTTCTCTTTGTTTGTGGTCGCATCTGCAGTCGGGGACCCTGCATTTCCCCTGCCTCACAGCAGCAGTGAGGTGAGCACATTTTCCTTTAGTCTCCGGGCTGCAGTCCCGAGCTGCCCCGGTGGACGTCTGAGCAGGGATGGAAGGAGGTCTCACCTTCTAGGGCAGCTGGCTTTTCGGGTCTTTTTTCTCTGGGGTGTGTGGGGTGGGCCTCTTACCCCAGATGAATTTGGAGAGTTTTCTCATGAATAATGGAAAGAATAATGAAAGTTTCTGGAAAATGTCTTACCTTGACTGAGCTATGTCAAGTGGCTGGCTTTTTTTTTTTAAGGAAATATAAAACATTTTATCTTAAGAGGTGCACTTAGCCAGTAAGGCGGTTTAGGAGAGAAGCATTAACCTTGTTTGTGTCAGAATCTGTGCTTTGTGTATGTTGGAAGACGTGCTGACCCTGAGACGGAGAGCCCTACTGTATATTG